TATATTACTCGAACGACTCATTAATTCCTTCCGGATTAATTCGTCGTGTCGGATCGTTAGTTGCTTGGGTGTGACCCGAAGGGTTCAGTCAAGATTAAGCTATAATATTAATTATACATTAATATTATTTATCGAAAGCGGCCTCCACCTAGACATTTCGATCACTTAAACTTACTGAATAATTATCTTTGTAATATCTCCGAAGCCTCTATCAAAATAATACACTTGTTTGAAGGACACCATTCCTTTCAATCTCCCACTTGTCCTTCCGGACAAGAGTGCTTTTAGTGTATATCCTTTTTCCTATGTCATTCAATGTCTCTTCATGAACTATAAGGTAAGATTATTTGTCATCCTTGTTACATTAAGAAGTGTTTCTTGAAATCTGAGTTTGACTGTGAATAAAAAGATGATTTTTGAAATCCATCTGAGCACGACCATGCATTTTCACAATCTTGCTCTTCGAGAGGCCTTGTAAACAACAAAGACATGTTCCCCATTGTTAGTGGGGGGACATTACTAATCTTGTAATGTCAGCTTCTCTTACTTAGAGAACCTAGCCACCTGAGTGTTGCCGTTATAATCTCCTTGTATGATAGGGGTTTAATTAACATCAAAACGGACTAGTACTAAAACAAGATAACTCACAATACTCATGGTCGAGGAAAGAGGTTCCGATAGCCATAATGAGAAGTATACTTATGACAATTTTTAAATCTCTTAAAGTATTATCATAGGTCGATCCAGTATGGTTCTAAACTAATACATGTGCAAATGATTTTATGACAATCATGTCCTTGTAGCACAAGAAAGGATGCTATAAATCAAAGTACACATTAATCTCAAGCGATCATTAATCGTTCATCATTCAAATGACCTGGATTAGGGATAATTTCAATTATAATATTTAATGTTCATTTAATAGGTGTTTCTTTATCCATGACTGGTCTTGATACCCTATTTTAAATATTCTCAGAATGGAATGGACTCAATATTTAATTCTAAACCACAATGAAATAGAAACGGAGAGATAAATTTCCATGAAATTAAATTACCCCAAAACCTGAATGGTTCATCTTAGTGCCTTACATTAAAATGTTCATAAATTAATTAATACACTAAATAGGGAAATCAAAGCCAATATCCAACGTGCCTGATTCCCATTACCTCAACGTGCTTTGTTATGCTTCACTTGAAGCACATGTCTAGTAAGTTGATCGCCTACATTGTCGTCCGTTCTAACTTTACCAATTCTTATATGACCCTCTAATTTCCACTCCCTTATCATGTGAAATTGCCTCCTAACATGTTTGACCTTCTGATGTTCCTTTGGCTCTCTAGCATGAGCAATAGCCCCGTTGTTGTCATAATAGAGGGCTATTAGACCCTTGATGGAGTGTACAAAATCCAGTTCACCAATGAACTTACGAATCCAAACTGCCTCTTTAGCCACTTTAGTAGGTGCCTAGTATTCGGCTTTAGTTGTAGAATCTGCAATTGTGCTCTACTTAGCACCCTTCCAACTTAACGCTCCTCCATTTAGACCGAACAAATATCCAGACCGTGATTTGAAATTGTCTATGTCTTTTTGGAAGCTTGTGTCGGTATAACCTTTAACAACTAATTCTTTTGAGCCACTATATACTAGGAATTTATCCTTGTTACTTTTTAGGTACTTTAGGATATTCTTGCATGTCCACAGTCAAATGCGCCTCTCCTGGGTCTGATTGGCATCGGCTCGTATAACTTTAGGAATACGATACATCTGGCCTAGTACATATCATGGCAAACATGATCGATCCAATTAGCGAAGCATATGGAATCTGATACATCTTTTCTCGCTCATCAGGTATCTTTGGTCACTGCTTCTTTCTCAGGGTTGTGCCATGTGACATGGGTAGGTGACCTCTTTTGGCCTCCTACACACTGAATCGTGCTAGTAGCTTATCGATATAAGTACTATGGCTATAGATCCTCTTAGATCTATCCTTATAGATCTTGATGCCCAACATGTACTGAGCCTCTCCCAAGTCTTTCATTGAAAAAAATTTCCAAGTCAGGCCTTTACATCCTCTAACATCGGAAAGCTATTTCCAATGAGCAATATGTCGTCGACATATAAGACTAGGAAAGCGATGTCACTCACACTGACCTTCTTGTAAGCACATGATTCATCTGAATTCTTGATAAAACCAAAGTTACTGATGGCTTCATCTAATCGCATATTCCAAATTTGGCTAGGTTGCTTTAGCCCATCAATGGAATTTTTAAGCTTACACACCTTCTTAGCATTGTTTTGGTCAACAAAAATTCAGGTTGTTTCATGTAAAAAGTTTCTTCCAAAATTCCATTGAGGAAGGCGGTTTTGACATCCGTCTGCCATATTTCATAACTGTAATATGCAACAATAGCTAGGATGATCCTAACGGGTTTAAGCATTGCGACCGGAGAAAAGATTTCCTCATAATCAATACCATGAATTTGCCTGTAACCTTTTGCTACCTGTTTAGCTTTGTCAATGAATACATTTCTATCTATGTTGGTTTTCAATTTAAGAATCCACTTACATCCAATAGGTGTAACCTTCGATCACTATTAGAAAACAGGCCATTTCCGAGGGAAACACCCAAAATCTGTCGGAAACGGTAGTCGAAAACGGGGTTATAAGAAATACCACTTTTTCAGTCGGAAATACTTTTCTCACGGATTTCTGACAGATTTTTCCCTCGAAAAGGGGTTTTCAGGTGTCGGAGAAATCCATCGTAAATTCCGACGGATTCACTTCCGTTTGAAAGTTACGACTGAATTTCCGTCAGAAAATTCTTTTTCTGACGAATTTCTGACAGATTTTTCCCTCGAAAAGGGGTTTTGAGATGCCGGAGAAATCTATCGTAAATTCCGACGAATTCACTTCCGTTTGAAAGTTACGACGGAATTTCCGTCGAAAAATTCTTTTACGAAATTAAAAAAAAAGGCCGCGCCACCATCGGTATGGCTTATCACCGCCTCCAACCACCACAACCCATTACCCTTACACGACTTAACCCACCACCACCCACCACCCGAACCCAGAAATAAAAACAATTTTGTCACGACATAAACCACCACCACCAACTACCCACCACCCGAACCCACCCCACTTAACAAAACCCACCACCCACCACCCGAACCCACCCTACTTAACCAAACCCACCCCACTTAATCCTAACCAACCCAGATGTACAGCAACCACCTAAAAATTAACAAAAAATCACAACCACAACCACAACATTTGAAAACTACCCATACAACCAAAAAAATTTAAAAAATAAACCAAAAAAAAATACATATCTTAAAACAAATTAGGATGTTAATTTCTCCTCGAATTTGGTTTAATACGGCTAAATTCGACCATGAAACCTCTAGATCTAGAGATTTCATGTTCGAATTTGGCCATATAAACCATTAATATGAATGAAATAGAGAAGATTAGAGAGGAGAGAGGAAATTGGTGAGGAAAATAGAGAAGTGATGAGGAGATCCGTGAGTTCATTCCTTACGACCGATTTTTAGAGTACTGAGAACATTAGAGAAAAGGAGAAGTGAGGAAAGATGAGGAGAAGAAAGAGAAGTGAGGAAAGAAAAGAAATGAGGAAAAAGAGGAGAAGAAAGAGACGTGGGGAAGAGAAGAGAGGAGAGAGAAGCAGAAGAGAGGCGGTGAGAGGAGAGAGAGAAGTTAGAAAAATATGTGGGGGGCGGGGCAAAAATATTAGGGTTTTAGGGGATTTGGTTTTTTTAAAAAAAACTTAAATTCCGTAGGAAAGGTATTAAATGTCGTCGGTAATTTCGACGGAAATTAAATCCGTTAAAAATTTCCGACGGAATTTAATTCCGTCGGAAAATATAACACTTCCGACGGATTTTCCGTCGGAAGTAAAGAATTTTCCGACAGATTAAAATTTCGTCGGAATTATTCGTCGGATTTTTGATGAAAAATAAAATCCGTCGGAATTTTTCTACGTTCCGACGGATTTAAGTGTCCATCAGAACCATTCCGTCATAAATGACCTGTTTTCTAGTAGTGGGGTAAGTCAACCAAGTCCCAGACTTGATTTTCAAATGTGGAATCCATTTCAGATCTCATGGCCTTTTGCCATTTAGCAGAGTCGATGCTCGCAATCGCTTAATTCTAGGTTACCGGTTTGTCTCCATCCACTACCAGAATGTCCTGATTCTCGGTGAATATAACACCTAGATACCTATTAGGTTAAAACCTCGCCCTCTACGACCTAAGTGGGGTAACAAACTGAGCATTTGCATTGTCAATTTGACTTTGCGCATTTTGACCAGCGTCAACAAATGCTATTTGAGCACTTTGAGTGTCAATATGATTTTCTTGCTTGTCCTCTCGAACTTCATCGAGTTCGATTTTCCTCCCACTTATCATTTTGGAAAGGTGTTCCTTCTCCAAAAAGACACCATCGGGAGCAACGAACACTTTGTTCTCAAATTTGTTGTAGAAGTCATACCCTTTGGTTTCTTTTGGGTAGTCTATAAAGAAAACACTACTACAAAAAAGGCCTTAGAGAACTGTTATTATAGGCTTTATAGATCGCCTTAGGGGCGTTCCTCTAAGCGATGTATAAAGTATAGAGAACAGGTCGTTTAGGCGTTTTATATATGGACAAATAGAGAACGGTTGTTAGTTACAACCGTTCTCTTTTCCCTTCTTAAAATCGTACACTAAGGAAAATAGAACGGTTTAGGCCACTTAACCGTTCCATATTGCATTACCCATGTATGTATTTTATCTTGTATTATTCCTGTATTTTGATAATTTGTATTATTTTGTATTTCATTTTTAGACCTGTATATGTTGTATTCCTGTATTTTATCTTGTAAATTAATCCTGTAAGAAAAATTCCACATTTCCTATGTAAAATAAACTCATGATCTTGTATGCGTGCAATATAAACTTCAGTATAATTAAATTAACAAAAATATTTCCAAATACGACGAAAGACATCAAAATATGCTTCGTATATATAATTTAAAACATCCAACCACAATTAAATTGAATCATTCATCCAAAATTTGTTCTATACAAATAAATACGTGAGTTAAATATCAAAACAAATTTCTAATTAATGTTGATTTAAAAAAAATTATGCTTAGACATACCAATACCATATTGATTTACAATTCATATATATCATTGTCGTCGTCATTTGGTTGATAATATCCGTAACATATGAAATCCGCCTTTCCCTAAGCTCGTCGATCATTTGTTGAGAATATGTAGGAAGAACTTGCTTTAAATACTACAAAACAATGTAAAATACATACATATTAGTAGTTAATAATATACACAATAAATTGATCTAATTAAATATAAATAGGTATATCTTTTTTGATCTAATTTAAGAAGAACAGCTGATACCCAAAAGGCTGCTCTCAATCTTATAAAAAAAAAAGAAGGGCTGCTCTCAAGACACATAACAGCCATGTGCATAATAGTTTCTGATCTAAGTTCATACCCATGCTCACAAGGTTGGGACGGGTTTACAGTAGAAGTTTCTAGCCCAAAACAAGAACCCAAACCAAAATTAGTGAAAGAATATAATAGTATATATACATCTTACAAACAGCCTAAACAGATATTTAAGGGAAATCATGATGATCTTCAGAAATAAGCAGTTACTGATAGAAAAGTTATAAGCCCGGAAGCATGGACTATAGAGCATCCACTTGCAGATCAAGACAGAAGATACACAATATATAACTTAAAATCAATTGTGACAGTAAAAATTATATAACCCACCAAATGCAAGTAAACAAAATAAAACATGTAGCTGCATGCTAATGATTCAAATGTGAAAATAAATAATCTATCAATCTAATTTCAAATCAAAATTGAACAAGAGAAAAAAAAACTCACATAGCGATATATAACCACCTCGTGGCATCTTCCCATGAGATAATGGCGACAGAAGCAATAATTTTTGGTTTCACGATAGTAGTAAGTTTTAATCACTTGACACCAAGTTTCTTGTCCATTTCTGCTGGTTTCTTCCTTTTATTCTGCTGCAAAATTAAATTAGCAAAAAGAATATGTTACCTCAAAAGTTTAATTACTACAACAAAACAAAATTTTTAAAATGAAGCAACCGGCACAAAGTTTTCTGTTTATTACTTTCAAATAAGAAACATAAACTTATTGATAAAGAGAAATTAGTAAATTTCACAGAGACATGATCATTAATTACTAAGTTCCATAACAGAAATAGAAGTAAATTACTACGGGATGCAAGATAGAAGTTCAGTACTTCATTTTATTAAAGCTACTTATGCAAAAACTCAATAAACAACATCTAGAATCTGAAATAGATGTAATAATTCTCAGTAGTATCCAGTCACTACAGGAAAGTGTACTATAATAAGGAAGCATTTGGAGACTCGGAAAGCAAATGAAGAAAGCTCCAGTCATTAGTTACATCAGAATAGGGAAATCTAGAGAAACACAACTCTTGAGATGATCCCCTAGAAGAGCTAGGAACAATGCTTCTAACAGATATCCAACTACAGACCATATCTCAGAAAGAACCACCGTGATGCAAGCAGACAAGTTAAAGCCCCATAAATACAAAGGCTTTTCTTGACTACTTCATCCAATGTTAGAAAAAAATAAAAGAGTATATAAAATAAAACAATATAGGTAAAACCTTTTTCTTTTCCTTCTTTGCCTCTGAAGAAGAGCTTTGTTTTTTATTCTTCGGGATGCTTGAGCCCTGAATAGATGGTAATACTAAGATGAAAAATGTTGGAAACACAACACTCAAAAATTATAATTCCGAAAGCACAGACTATAGAACATCTACTTGCAGATCAAGACGAGGAGGGACTGATGCATACAAAGAAAGAAGTTTTTTTACATAAAGGAGGTCTCTAAAAAAAACTGAAAAAAGAGGGCATGATACGAAAAATTAAACTTGAGGTGATGTAAGAGTTGAATAAGCATGCAAATGCAGGATATAAGCCTCCTTTACATAAAGAGATAAAGGAGAACTTGCCAAAGTTAGTGCACAAATAAGGTGCTCAGTAAGAAAGACTCTAGCATCATAATCCATTAAGCATTATCACTCTAGCAGGGGAAACATTGGAGCAATCATGCACCTTAGCTCTGAGTCTATAAACATATAGAAGTTAATTCACATTCATAGGGGATACAAATTCAATTAACCACTGAAGGTGAGGGAAGCTTCAGAAAGAGGAAATCTGGAGACACAAAACTCCAAGATGATTTAGCAACAAAGTCATACGTCAACAACAATGTACAAAGAATAAAAAAAAACTCAATCGTCTTTAACAGTACCACAGTCCACATGTTATGATTCCCTCCTCTTCTCTCTTCACAATCAGCTACACCAATTCCACAAAAACACACTCCTTACTCATCATTGTAAGCATAGTAAAAACCATGACTAGTCTTATACATTACTAGAATCAGATTTTATCATCGCATAGTTTCAATCACAAGATCTCATAACCAACCCTTTTATGAAAGAAAAGCAAAGCGAATAAATATTTTCTAAAATATATTACAAATTATTTACAATTAATATAGCACAATAATCCAGTGGTAATCAATTTCCCCTACCCCTCTTTCTTTATCTTATTAGGGTTCTAAATTGAACTTAGGTAAGATTATTTGGCTAAAATTATTTTTATTACTATTGAAATAAATGGAAAGTCGACAAAATTAAGGGTAATTTGATTCAACTTACTGCAATTCGGCTGAAATATTAACATACAAACAATCAATTGAATTTATCCCTAAAACTAGAACTTTGATGTTTTTTTCAATCACCTAAATTCGAATTGCAAATTAATTTAATAGATGAAAACTATGAATTTAATTTTGTTTCCTTCATATTTCGAATGGTTCATGTGGTTAGATTGACAAATTATCAAAATTCAATTACTCTATGATAAATAAAATTCGAACCTACCTCAATGTAATGGTGGCTCAGCGAAGTGGTGGTGCTGCAGACATTGTGCGGCGGTGGAGCGGCGGCACGACAAACAGTAAGTGGCGGTGCATGCAATTGGAGGTTTTCGGTCAACTTAAAGCAATTAACAAGAAGTATGGAGTATTTTTTTTAAGAATATTAAGCAAAGGTATTTTTTAGTGGAATGGAAGTGAAAGTGAAATGAAAGTGAAAAGCCTTATAGCCGCCTTTGATTAATTTGGGTAAATCCCCTTTTTTTTTTTAATAATAATAATAATAACACTCTGTATATAATTTCCTCCTAAAATGACAAAAATAATTAAAAAAATACAAAACGGTTATCAAGATGACCGTTCTATATCCTCTATAATAATTAATTATTATTTTTAATTATTTGGGTGAAAGAAATAGAGATTGGTTAACTAAGCTAACTGTTCCATATGAATTAACTTACAGAACGCCTCTTATACAAATGCGTTCTATATTCTTTGGTAATTGTTCTATATTTTGCGATCTCTAATCTAGTTTTCGGTGTAGTGAAACCTTGTCAGATTTGGATTCAGTAATACCCTTTGGTTTCTTGACTTATGCTTCGCGTCCCCATATCTTGAGAAAAGACAACCTTGTAGGTTTTGTTTCGGGGTTTTCTGATGTCCTGCGGGAGAGTTACAATTCCGAGACTGGAACCGGACGCCTGTACCTGCAAAATAACGGAGACTCCTGAGAGCTCCGCCTCCAACGGTCAAGTTAGTACCTGATTAAGGAGTAATCAATACAGAAATTAAAGTAATGAGATCTCTCTAGGTGAGAGTGCTTAGTGTTGGTAATCTGCCTTGTTAGCGAGATTAGCCGGTTGTTAATAACTCTGTTCTTCTCTGCTTGATCTCTTAATTATTCCGTTTTTTGATTAATGAGGATTAATAGAGTATTTATAGCCTTGGGAAGCGTGCAACTCTCTAGGTTTTAAGGTAAACCTAGGGCTGACCGGGCCTCTAGACTGGACTGGGCCTTGATGGCCGGTTTTCCCATTTGGCATGGGCGGACACGTGGCGTGTCTTAAGTGGTCCGTGGAGGACGTATCTGTGATTGACACGTGGCAGGTTCCTGTTGGCCTTCGTGAAGAACACGTGTCGGAACCTGGTTGGTCCACTTGTCAGACGGTGATTGGTGGATAAAAATCCCCTAATCATTTGCCCCTCACAGGTGGCACGCGACTGGTCACGTGTCGCCTGTGACAGGTGTCGCACGGTGACAGGCGACGGCCTGTTACAGGTGTCACCTTGCAGACGGCCGAGAGATTTTCCCGCCCAAATTTTGAATTTGGAAGCGACCCTTCGCCTTCTCACTTTGCCTATAAAAGGAAGTGCTGACTTCGGTCATTTTCACATTTGAGAACTTTTGCGAGAACATTCGGACCCCTGAACTTGCTCTGACATTTCGGACTTTTTCTGCCTACCGCCTGTTCTGACAAGCCGACTGACCCGAACTTTCAGGACTTCATCAACCGTCACTCGTTCAGGTAACTCAGTTCTCTTACTCTTAATTTTCTTTTTATTTTTTGAAATGGAACCATGGAAGCACACGACACGCCCTAAGTTAGTGATCAGCCGGTCACCGGGGACGGCTGAATCTAGGACTAGGAGTGCCGCCTGCCCTTTTCTGGACCCATCTTTGCCCTTTATACAAAGTCCGACTGTATCTGTGTCTATGCAGAACGTGATGGCCAGAACAAAAAAGACTGCTATGATATCAAACTCAGACGGCTCCTCCCAAAGGGTGCTCCTTAGTGAAACATCTGACCAGGCGCCAGATGTAGAACGAGGCGACTGTCAAGCTGACAGTTCTGAGAGAGGGACCAAGGTGTTCCCTTCCCATCTTACCGTGGACATGTCTAATTTTCCTTCTGCTCCTTCTAAGGGAGAGGAGGCGGGCCCCTCTAGGAGAGGGGAGGAGTCGTCCTCTTCGGACTCGTCAGGGGACGAGTCCGAATCCAGCTCTTCTGGCCACAGTTCTTCTGGCTCAGAAGAAAAACATAGCCGCCTACAAGAGGCGAGACGTTCTCATGCAGTTGAGAAAGGGGATAATTGGGCAGAGCCGTCCGCCTCTTACAGAGAGGAAAACGCCCCCTACTACTGCAGGGTACCCCGGGGCCGGATTGTAACCATGCGAGACAACGTGGCGAGCTTTATTGCTAACCACAAAATGGGCCCGGAGTTTTTACTGTTTGTGCCGGATCCAGAAGATACTGTCGTCTGGCCGGCTGGTACCAGCTATGGTGACGGCTGCTTTGGCTGCTATGTGGCGGCCATCAAAGCTGGACTGCGCTTCCCATTATATCCGGCTGTTCAGCGGATTTTAGATGGGTATGATCTGGGGTTATGGCAGTTAGCCCCCAACTCTTGGGTAAACGTACTCGGCTATGTGGCCGGGTGCGAACTGAACGGGGTGGAGCCAAGTTTTGAGGCTTTCTCCCACATGAACTATCTCAGCCGGACCCCTAAGTCAGGAGGTACCGGCTGGTATCAATTAACAAGCCATAGGGGTTACCTCATGACGAGAGGTAAGGCAAACAAATGGAAGGATTGGCGGAACACCTTTCTTATTATCGAGAGTTCAGACACGGAGCTGAACAAACGCTTTAACAAGTGGAATAGGGATCCGCCTCTTCTCGCAGGCGGCCGCAGCATGCCGCCTGTTCCCCCAAAGGCTAAAAAAGAGATCCTAGACAAAGGACTCTTCAAAGTAGAGACTAGGGTGAACTCTACTTCAGGGGTACGAGAGCAAGTACCCCTAAACTGCGTCCCGAGCTTCAAGTGGCTCTATGACGAGTACTTCTTGGCCGCCTGTGGCCTCAGCAGTCGGTGCTCTAGAGGTAGCCGGCCTGACGAATACTCTGTTTTTTCACGCCTTGTTTACTTGGGATTTTTACTAACTTTGCTGTTTATTTCTTTCAGCCGACGCCATGAGTAAAATAACAGCATCTAAGACTGCGGCGGCCATGCTGCGGGTCTCGCTAATGAAGCAGTCGTATGCCGACTCCCCCAGCAAGGAGGCACCCTTGGTAAGCTTTGAAAACCCTTCTCCTTTTAGTTGTATTATGCATATACTAACTCTTTTTGTTTTCAGTCTGGCACTCCAAGGGCTTCTTCCTCGCAACAGCCGGACCCCAAGGCCCGGAGGACGACTGTTGCAAGCTCTCCTGGGTCTTCCAGGAAAACAGTGGTGGCTGAGAAGCAGCCGGCCACTTCTTCAAAAACCCAGGCGGGGCCGCCTAGATGTATGGACACTTGCTTGTAAAAACTCACCCTTGCTTCCTTTTTGATTAGGTCTAACTTGTTTTTTCCTTTTGCTTAATGCAGCCGGCCCCCAGGGACTTGACTTGGTTGAGGTAGCCAAGTCAATGGTTAAAGTAGTTCCTCCATCTGACAGGGAGGCGGTCAAGGGTGCCGGCACCCTTGACCTTGATGGAATTTCAGGGGTCCTTGCTGAGGTATACTTAGTATATTTTTGAGCTTTTTGAGTTCTAGGACGCCTGTTAACTCTTTTGATTGGAAACTGACGCCTGTTTTTCTTTGTACTTAGGCCCTGCTCCGAGTCAACATCCTTCGCAAGCCGATTGATCGGAAAAAACAAAGAGGTAAAGGCCGCAAAGGCTATGGCCGCCTCCAGCTGTGATAAGGCAATGTTTCAAATTGCCCAAAATGAAGTACTGACCATTGATCTTCTTTATTATCAGGCGCAGGCGACCGCCGCTGTTCGGGCTCAGCTAGAGGCGGCCCAAAAGAAGGTTGACGAGCTGGAGGGGACCGTCACCAACCTTAAAGCCGAGCTGAAACCTCTTCGCCAAAAAATGCATTCTTACGAAGCCATGGAGAAATCTTTGGCCAACGTAAAGGAGCGCCTGGTGAACCAAGAGAAGAGTCTTACCCAAGAGCTCTCGGATAAGGCCGAGCAAGAGAAACAAGAGCTCGTCCGGGAGATGGTGGAAGACTCCGCTCAAATCCAACGCATGACCTGGGAACGACTGTTCCCCAGTGCCAACTTTGCCTCATGGGAAAGAACGTACCGCCAGTGTTCGGAAATATATAATCAACAGATCCTGGCGGCTGCTGAAGAAGAGGCGTTGGATGGTGCGTTGGAGGAGGAAGAGCCGGTTGTGGCGCTTGTGCCACTTGGGGGTAAGGCATCAAAAGATGGTGCAGCTAAGGCCGAGTCCAGCAAGAAGAGTGCTGACCAGGCGGCTGCTGCTGATACTGAACTGCCCCCTTCTTAAGCTTTTAAGTATTTTTTTCTTTTCACGGCCTGCGTGCCGTTTGCTTTGTAATTACCCGGCCAGGGGGCCGGGGTTTTGAATATTCTGCTGGTCTTTAATGGCCGGCTCATTTTTAATCAAACTTTTGTTTTGGTTCAAATTTGTCTAAGTATTTTTAATTTGCTCACTAGACCGACTGTTGTGTATGGCCGAACGTTAAGACAGGTACAAATAGTAAGTATGCCGCCTATGCCCCTGGACGACTGGTTGTCTGTTTCCAGGATAGATGATCAGTCGGCCATTTAATCAATCGGTATTCGAACTCTTTATTCAATTTGACCAAGTAAATAGAATTACCTAGTAGCCAAGGAATTAAGTAGGAAAACAAGCGGCGGGTACCGGTTGTTTCCCTTTATTGCTAATGTTGGCTTTTAATTCGTTATTTGTTAACCTAACAAGAGTATTGGTTGAGAGCCTTTGTTGATTAAAAACAAGTGGACGACTCATACCTTTTAGGCTCCATACTAAGTTTGAGTGACTATTAAGTTATCATAGGAGTTACTTAGTCTTTGTCACAATCTTGATTGAGTAGTAGAGGTATCAGGCGGCGTAGGCCGGCTAGACCCCTTGATTCACCAATGTTTGTTGGCTATTAACTCAATAGGTTATCCAGTAGGAATAGGGGTTCGAGTGCCCTTGTTTGTTTAAAACAGGCGGACGACTCAAACTTTTTAGATTCCATACCAAATTTGAAGGAGTGACTATGAGTTAACTTTGGAGTTACTCAGTCGCCATCACTTTTGTTTGGGAAGTAGAGGTACCAGGCGGCGTAGGCCGGCTAGACCCCTTGATTCGCCAATGTTTGTTGGCTATTAACTCAATACGTACCCCCTGCATTTATCCCAAGTAATACAGGCGGTTATCTGACTCAGATGTCAACTGCTACCACTGGTTTGGTTAGTGATAGAGTTATCCTTGTCTCAAAAACGGCTACGTGGTTGCCCTTGGGGACAGTCGTATAGGTGCCGTGTAATTAGTTTATAGAACAATGTTCCACCCAAAAGGGAGCTGCTCTCTGCGACGAATTTCATCCGGAGGGATGCCGTCGGACGCCTGCTATGATGTTGGGACAGGTCGAATTAGTTTTGTAGATTTGATCAGGTGGCTTGGCGCCTGGTCTGATCAT